ACCATTTTTTTCCCCAAAACAGTTACCCATTTTGTGAGAGTGTGGGAGAGAAAGGCCAAAGGGTATAGGGGAAACATTTGATTCCCGGGGTGTGTGTTTGCATCACAACCATGAACTTCATTTTGCCCACCATGCCTATTTGCTTTCCCTTCCCTTTTAGAAAAAATATTTCATGTAATAGTGTGCTGTTTTACGGTTGCAGAAGCAAGAAGGGCCTTCAAGCACATTTAAAACATGATGTATGCAGAATGACATACGTTCATGTGTGTATTTTTGGAGTGGGGGAAGTTAAATCCATGTTTCAAACCATATTCTATTTTAAAATGTGTAAATCCCACTCAGAATCTAAAGATCAACATTTTTTAAAAAGGGTTTGTTAAAAACAAATGAATTTAACAATATGTAGGGAGATGTTATAGAATACAGTATGTCTCTGTGGAAAGTAAACATCAGGTACCATCACAAAAAACTTGGCAGTTTTGGAAAGGAGAAGGGACTACAAAGATATAGCTCAAAACGTCCCGGGGTGGGAGAAGCATTGAATGATGGCAATAAGAATAATAGTGTATGAGAGGTATTATTTGTACCAATGATAATATTGCTGTGTTTATGGTTATCAATATAATTTTCTTTTGTATTTTATTTAAAAATTTTAGAAAGAATTTTCTGGATAAAACAGATAAGCTGGATGGAAAACAAACAAACAAATAATTGCAATACTTGCACTGAGAAAAACAGTAATGCAAAGAATGTCCTCTCCAATGAAAACAGCTTCAGTTCATCATTATGACTAACCTATAGTAAGGCCATCAATGTAATTCGTATCCTATTGTCTTTCAACTCACAGAAGAGAACTGAGGGCATGGCTACACAGTGGGGGAAAATACCAAAAGATCTGCTGTGGAGTCACACCCGGGAAGTCGGGCTCCCTTGTGTGAATTCACTTTAGCAGACTACTCAGGCATCAGCAGAGAGAGGGGAGGAAACTGGCAATCAGTGTTGTGTGCAGCTTCTTAAGATAATTTTGGATTTGTGGGAGGCATGGATGCAGCAGAGCTAACTTAATTAGCTGCAAAGAAGTGCTGATTAGCCATTTCCTACTTGCTCCGTGCTGACTCTTCACTCTTTCTTCTTTGCGGTCTTAGGTGCCCGAACACAAGTAGTGCTACGCTTTTTTAAAAAAAGGAAAAGGGAATTGGAAAACAAGTAGACTCAGGCACCAAGTTTGGGGAAAAGAGAATGGAAACGGCAGCCAGCGTCCCATCTGAATGAGCCCACTGCCTTGCTTCCCTTACTGTTGCTCTATCTGGGTAGAATGGGTTGAAAGAGAAAGCTAAAAAAACACCTCCTTAGAAGGATCTGAGACTGTATGCATCAGCACAAGTGAACTGATGCAAATGTATTTGCTGCAAAAAAATTAGAAGTCCTAGAAGTGGAGAAAAAAAACATGGATTAGCAGAGGAAAACTCTGGGCTGATCCACACTGGCTTGTACATTGTGTTGTCAAGTGAAAACCATGTGAATCCAATCATTCCAATTCTACAGTATTTCCTGTATTATCTACCAATGCAGTTGCCCCCTCAGGCACATCATCACATTCCACTTGCTAGGCAGAGGATCGTGATGGCTGAACAGTTGGTGCACACTGACAAGTAACCATGTGCCAATTGCTAACATTTCACAAGCTGCTCTGCCATACGTATTGGCCAATTTTGTTCATACTGTTGTGGAGACACACCTGTTTGTTAGGCCTGCAGTCGTGTGCAGCTGATTGTCCATCCACATGGCCACCTGTTTCATAAAAACACTTTCCTCTGCAGAGGCAGTTGCCACAAGGAACAATCTAAAGCAGCCGCCACATCAATCCTATTTTGCATGCTCTAGCTTAACATTGAAATATGCAGGTCTTCAGCTGGAGGCAGCCAGAAAATAAACTCCTTCTACATGGAAATCATGAATTTGCTTTTATGTGGATCAGATGAATAATTACCAGCAGTTGCCAGAAACTTGGTCACCACCTAAAACACATTCACTGGAACCTTTCTAAGTGGCCTGCATGTGGAGGCTATAGTATCTGAACTGATCCTGTAGTATTTTCATGCATCAGTGGGGGAAAAAACCTTACCAATTCTCACAGAAAACTAATAGCTTCAATGTCAATAAACCTGTGAAGGATCGCCCACCATGCTCTGAACCACCTGCAAGAGAGGGGTGACAAGTAGTGGATGAAAAGCCAACCATTTCATATCAAGATTAGAGATGGGGGTATTTGTATAAGCAGCTGTAGTTAACAAGGCTCCGCCCCCTGGGGCTGGACCATCCACTCATGTGTCTGCCAGCGGCGGACCCTCTCTTCCTTCCAATCACTCCTGGGGCCCCGCTCAACTAGCCACTCCTGTCAATGGGAGGGAGGACGAGTCTCTCTGCAGGGCTGCTGAGTGACTAGCTGAGTGGCGCTCAAATACGAATGTGAATTCCCCCAACTCTAATCAAGATACACCCCTTTTCTTCCTGTCAATGCAAAACTCTACACGATCATCTCAACAGAGATGTTAAGGCATTTAAATATTGTCAATATGTACTTTCTGGCTACACTTTTGCAGCCAGCAACCGAATATTTCATAGCACACGTACTATAAGTGCACTTTGTGAGGACAGATGCAGAGAAATTAACACCTTCCAGACAGCTCTTCCTTTTTTTCCTCATTGTTTCTAACAGAGGGCACCAACTGAGATATGGAACCACACTCACCTAAAAGCAAACACTACCCCTTGTCTGCCCAAGATCTTCTGAGTCTCAACTACAGTGTATATTGGAACTAGACCTCTTCTTGGTCTACATTTTCATATAACCCAAGATCTTCTGAGTCTCAACTACAGTGTTTATTGGAACCCAGTTCCATAATTTACTCTGAAGGCCTACTAGGATTAAATCCACATTAAGCTCAACTAGAGGAGAGAAAAAAAGGAAAGGGAATTATTTAGAAAGAGGACCTCTTCTTGGTCTACATTTTCATATAACCAAGACACTAGGCTTACAAACCATCAGGGGTGGATTTGATTTAAATTTTTAAAAATCAGATTTTTTGAACATTTTTAAAATTTAAATTATCATTTTTAAAATTTAAATTATGATGCAAATCACTTTGATTTTTTAAAAATCATTTTTATCCACCCTGCAAACTATTCACTTTTAGTGTCCACAGGCACACACTACCCCTTGTCTGCCCAAGATCTTCTGAGTCTCAACTACAGTGTATATTGGAACTAGACCTCTTCTTGGTCTACATTTTCATATAACCAAGACACTAGGCTTACAAACCATCAGGGTGGATTTGATTTAAATTTTAAAAAATCTGATTTTTTTGAACATTTTTAAATTTTAAATTATCATGCAAATCACTTTGATTTTTTAAAAATCATTTTTATCCACCCTGCAACCTATTCACTTTTAGTGTCCACAGGCACCTCTTGATCTCCCTTTTCTTGACTTCCTGGAAGAGAAACCAACTTTCCTAACATCTTATGCATCATCCCTAAATCAGCTAGACTATTACCCAATGGATATAGGTAGGGTAGTATTTGCACTGACAGAATCTAAAAATCTGAAGATGATGAAAGTAACATTTGTTACACATTTTGATTAACTGTGTGTTAACTTATAAATATACTATTTACCGCGCAATCCCACGTCTCCTCAAAAGTAAGTCTTGCCAAGTTCAATCCTATCTATTTTCCTAGACTTCCAAGGCACTTTATTCCCTGAGCTGCAATTCTTTACCTGAATACAAACCCCACCAAATGTCATGTAGTTCTGAGTAAACATAATCAGGATTGTACTGTTAAGCATTCTAAAGAGTGGATGCTGTGTTCCTCGGCTGCAGCAAAAAGAAGAAACAATACTGTGACATCTTAAAAGACCAACACAATGGCCAAAATTATGTTGGCATAAATTTATGCTGTGCATGCCAGGTGATGCCACTGCTGGCAGTGATTTTCTGATATTAAAGGTGCCCCCCTCCCACTCCATCCGAAGGGTCCCAAAGGCTTCTTGAGGGAAGTTTTTAATGTGATCAGATTAAAGATTACGGATTCTAAAGAATGGATGCTGTGTTCCTCGGCTGCAGCAAAAAGAAGAAACAATACTGTGACATCTTAAAGACCAACACAATGGCCAAAATTATGTTGGCATAAATTTATGCTGTGCATGCCAGGTGATGCCACTGCTGGCAGTGATTTTCTGATATTAAAGGTGCCCCCCCACTCCATCCTAAGGGTCCCAAAGGCTTCTTGAGGGAAGCTTTTAATGTGATCAGATTAAGATTATCTGCCATTGGATGGTGATGTCATCTGGCCTGTATGGCATACATTTATGCCAACAGGATTCCAGCCATTTATTTTGGCACAAGTTTTCAAGGATTGCAGTTCACTTGATCGGGTGTATGAAGCGTTACACAGACTTTGAAGTACATATGGCTGGAAGGAGAAGGGCAGGAAGTAATTTCTCCATTTTCTTTCTTTTTGATTTGCCTGTTTATATACCACTCCAACCATGTGTGGATATACAGCGGTAAATCAACGTGAAACTATGTCCTTGGTGACACGGGCTGCAGTCCACAAAATCTTACATCATTATAACATTCTTTTCTTAAGTCTCTAAAGTGCACAAGATGCTTTCATGTTTTTATTATTAAACTTGCAGGTCAGAAACCAGGTTTTACTGAATCTTAGCAGGTCTTGCCCCAGATATACATATTTTCAAACATCAAACCAGAATGTCTGCCACAAATACCCTCTTTACTGTATGATGCAGATGAAACCTACAAACATGAAAGACAATTCAAAGTCCCTAATAAACATATTAGTAAGACAAAATGGAGGTATTGCCACAGTCTTAAGCATGTTTTACTGAAACCAATGGGATTTACTCCTGCTTCAATATGTCTAAGATAGAATTTTGTCGAAAATAAGCACGTAATATCAAATGGGAATAGATTTACCTGAGCAAAATACCACCCGTACAAAGGAAGCCATTTTAACCCATCTTTCAAAACATATCGAACGTGCCCAAGAGCATTCTGCCTGATGGCCAGCATGTTGGCTATAATCCAGTCAACTGCAAATCCAAAACACAAAGTTGAGACCCATCAATCAATATCAAAACACTTCTAAAACCAATTCTTTGCATCTTTTGAGAAATCATGCTGTTGCTTATGAACATGAAGAGTGGGGGTTTTTCCCACTGGCAACACAAGAGAAGCTCTTCTCGTTATCACACTCCTTTCCTTTCTTTTCCAGTAATTTAAAAATATCTACATTCCCAATTTATGTCTTAATTTTGAAATGTTACGAGCTTCAACTGCTATGAAGTCTGTCTTATAAAGCTGACAAATAATATCAGTTCTATTGACAACCTACTGTAGAATAGATCCATACTTTGAAAGATCAGCCTAAGATATCCCAACACAATCATACATGTTAAAGAATGTTTTTAAAAGTTGAATTAGAAAAACAAGAGCTTCAATGAATACTACAAACTGTTGTGGAAATTTGGACCAAGTTCAAAATGCATGTTTATTGTTGCTCTACAATACTTGGCAAGTCACAAACCAAAAGCCTTGTTAGTAAGGACAACCTTGTACTGTATATACAGTGTAGGTTTAATTAAGAAACGTCTTTGCCTAGAACATGTTGTTGTGTACAACATGGATTCTCAATGCTGCACACTCCAAACAGAAGATTGTGGGATTGTATCCCATAGTGATCCTATGCTGCCTTGGGTCCTTTTAAAGAGAAAGGTGGTGTAAAAATATTTTAAATAAAGAAATAATATGCTACTTGGAGGTGAAATATTTTTCCAGTTCTATTATCTTAATATAAAAGAGCCAAATATTCTAAACCTTGAAAATTTCAGTCTGAACAGCTGTATATTCACATGAAATTTCTTTATGTTTCTTTACTAAATAAACTCCTTGTAGATAAGGAAACTGTATACAAACCTGTACATTGATGGTTCGATATATATATCACATTCTCTTTAGTTTTTGGCAAATCACCATAAAGGATTATCTAGAAGTGGAAAAAAAAACAGATACATTGTTAGATGTATAATAATGAAGAACAAATACAAAATCCAGGAATCACAGTATTTAAAACACTCTTTTCAAACAAAGGCTTAGTAAGTTCTATTTTTAAAACGAACTAAAGTTAGAAACAGGAATGCCATTTCTCCTCTTTCATCCCAGTGTTAACATAAACACTATGTAGCACTCTACTGAAATCAGCATAACCATGTATGAATGCAAGGGTCCATCTTAGCAATAAAATTGAGATGGGCAGGCAGAGTTTATTGTGTAAAAATGAGTTTTTTTAAAAAAAATCAGTTTTTTGAAAAAATACTTCTTCATACTTTTTCTTATAAAAGGATAACACCTCTATGGTAGTGCCACAGATATTATTTTGCTATGTTCCTTTCCAAATTGAAGAACAATTACTTTTTAAAAATAGAAATTTAAAATGTAAACTATATTTCCCAGTTTAAATTTGTTATGATTAAGGGGAGGATTTCTATAACATATCTTTTCCTCCCGGCAATTTAGGTTTGAGCTGATGGGTCGGGGGCTGAACATGATTATGTGTAATCTGTTGAGAAAGACTACTCATAAATATGTTTGAACTTGGCTTATAGGTTCACATGTAGGTTACAAAGTAAATGTGAAGAGTCATAGAAATCCTAGTCATGATTTTTATTATGATATTGCTTGTACAACCCTAACTGTTGCAACCTTCAGAAGTATCAATGAACAGAGCTTTGTTATTATTACGGATATAGCAAGCAACAGTGTACTGTGTATGGTACTTGTTGAGAGAGATCACATTTAACCAAGCCTTTCTGAGTAGTGATTCAGGTTGGAGATCAAATCAGTTAAGTTTCAGAATGCAATCAAATCCATTCATGTTTTTCTCTTATACCTTATTGTACCTCCCGAAGCCACATTAAAGAAGCAGATACAGGATGCTGTTTTAACTGTTTCTGTGTAACTACAGATGTACCAAAATCCAAGGACCAAATGCGGACACAAATCAAAACATGAAGGCACAACAGCTGACAATTCTGGATTACTGACAGCAAGCTGGTGCACACTGCTCGGCTGTGGTCCCACTCAGTTCTTACAGCCTATGGAATATTTGTTTAAACATAAATAATATCTAGTAGAGTTTGAACTCAACACTCCTGCCTGATTATCAAGTCAGAGGTCTGAAGCTGGCTGATGGAAACCATTCTGTCAGAGAAATACCTTGATTCAGATATTTGTTAAGTTGTATGCTTTCCCACCCAGCTAAGCTTTACGTTAGTGGCTCCTGTTTTCAGGAGGCAATAAGCATGAATGATCAGGCATGATGCACGTGCTTACAACTGATAAGTTGAATTATCAGCAAATAGCATTCTGCAAGAACAGAGTCACGCAGTTGGAATGACAAATTTGGAGGGACGTCTTATGCCCTGATAACTTGTCTGCCTACAGCCCCCTTCACTTCTAGTCAATGTAAGCAATAGTAAGGAATCTGTACTATCCAGCAAGACCTGTAGAGCTGCTGGCTTCCTACCTGTAATGCAGCATCTCTTTAAAAAGAACCATACATCCAATTATGAAATCCTTTTGTACAAATGAAAAACCTTTTCCACACTATCCATGCAGGAGAATATGTATTTTATACATGTTTAAATAAAACAAATGGTGTAAATAAAAGATCCAACAAAGCATATTTTTTCCTGGTAAACTTGATTGGAGATGACGACAATGATGATGAGTGGAAAAAAGCTAATTTTGAATGCAAAAGGACAAAAACCTGGAAAATATTAGGCTTTGTTTATGAATGAGGGGAAAGGGATGAAGGTAACTGAAGTACAAAATTGTACAGGATAACAGGATGCAGAAACCTTTGACCTGTTGGACATTAATTTCATTCATGCCTGGTTAATGAATGGATCATCTGACATCTGTATGATTGCTTTACTGAACAGAATTCAAAGCATCTGCCTGTTGGAAATGGGCAGTGGTTCCTAAACACATTTGCCTAATCATATCTGCTCAACAATTTAGTATTACTGATTTCAGTGGAACTTCCAAAATCGCCTATTTAAAGGCCAGTGGACATTATCTTATTGCCAGTCCCAACTAAGAGTTGACACGTTTAATCAATTGTTCAATGGCAAGTAAAAACAACCTTATGTCAAAAGAGTGATGGAAAACAAAGGATGCGGAAGCTTTGGCTCACAGATGTTTTGATCACATCCTGGCATCTCCAGCCACGGGACAACAACTTCTGTAAGGTCATGGGGTCCCCTCTTGTTTTAAGTAGTCTGTATGAATAATTACACCCTACAGGGCCTCAGCTAAGATATCTAGAGAGAGGTTGACCAAACCTGAAGCTAAAACTTTCTTCAATGCTTCCATAAAACCTGAAGGCCACTGTTTTTATTTTATTTTATTTTTCTGAAGACAGGAGGTAGGCCAATTAGTTCCAATACCTCAGTGCTCCAACATCTTACAGCTGTTCTCTGCTTCCAGCATCTGCTGCCTAAGGCAGCCACTTCACAGTGGCTAGTTGTAGAGTTGGCCTTGCAGTTAACAGGTCCAATGCTCACCACAGAGAGGAAGAACATGCAAGGAAGCAAGGACATGGCTGGTTCCTTGCAGGCCCCTGACTTCTTCTGGGCGGCAAAGTGGTCTGTCACACTGTTCTGAGAGAAATGGCAGGAAAACCTCTTCTTGGCGGTACAGTAGCAAGTACCAGGCTCTTCAGACTGAATCCAGTGTGCTATCCAAACAGTAGGGCAGTGGACAATGGAGGGATGACAGATGCTCCCCAGAATATGCCACTAGCTCTGCTAGTTTGCTTGGATTTGTGCTCTCTCTTCTCCCTGTGAGGCACTGTGATTAGGCTTTGCAGCCTCTGTCCACTGCCAGAGTGGCCACTGCCAGCTAGGGCACTCCTCAACACCACACTGCCCTGAGAAGGAAGACAAAGGTCAGCAAGGTGAATTGCAATTCCTTGCAGTTGGAGCTGCTTCTTTCATTTGCCTGCCTTTTCCCTCTGGGAGCAGAAATGACAATCAGGCCCCATCTTACATGACTACATGGCTAAGAGACTGTACGGGCAGCACATAACCCTCTGGGATGGGGACGCCCTGCAGTTGCCTCTGCTCCATCTTTCCAATCTTCTAGGTTGGAGGGGTAAGAGGTAGGCACAGGACAACCTTCCAGGTGTTGCTGGACTGCAACTCCTATCAGTCCTAACCAGCAATGGCGAAGAATGCCATTATGCGCTGGCTCAGGTGTTAAGATCATCAGGAGAGGTCTTACTCTTGATCCTCCACTTTCACAGGTGTGTCTGATGGGCACATAGGAGAGTACTTTCTCTGTTGCTGCACCCAGACTCTGGAACTCCCGCCCACAGGAGGACAGACCGGCCCTGTCTTTCCGGGTTGGTCCTTGCTTCCTTCCGCAAACAGGCAAAGACCTTTCTCTTCAGGAGGCGCACCTTCCCTGAGTAACCAGCTACCTGTGTGTGATTTTTAGACAGACTGTTACGCATTATTGCTTTGACTGGATTTTTAGTACTACTTGAGTTTTCCATTTTTGTGTTTTCTCATTTCTCAGAGTGACATTTTTGTAAAAAAAGTACTTATTGTTCTTAGCTTTAATATTGCCTTTCAATGATGTAGGATGCCTCTTTATATTTGTTGTTCTTAGATTTAAATATTGTCTTTTAATGATATTAACCACCATTGTATCCTCATTGTTTTCAACTTTAAACACTGTCTTTCACTGTTGTAAGCCGCCTTGGGTCCTTTTCAAGGAGAAAGGCTGGAGACAAAGATTTTCAATAAATAAATAAATAAATAAATAAATAAATAAATAAACAAACAAACAAACAAACAAACAAATAAATAAATAAAATGCTGGGAGTTATAGTCAAACATCTGAAAGGGTGCACTTTGCCCACTTCTGTTCTAGGTGATGTGGACGGATGTCTCGAGCGCTGCCAGAAAGGACACTCCCATTTGAGGGGCCAATGAAGGCAAGCAAAGGAACCTCTCCAGTCACTGAGGTGGGTGGCCAGCCCCCAGGTTGTAAAAAGCACCTCTGCACAGACACCTGGACTTCCTCTCTCTAAGTCAGAGCTTCTTAGCCTCAAGGGGTTTTGAGGTTCCTGTCACAGAGACCCGGCAGACGGAGGGGGGGGATCCCAGCACCCCGCGTCCCAAACACCTGCAGGAGCCAAAGGTTGAGAAGCTGTGCTCTGGGCAACTAGGCAGGTGGGGCGGCCACCTGTTGTAGGGCGAGCAAGAGGATGGAGATTTCACTCAACCCAGCCCCGACACCACAGTATTGGCACATGGATGGATAGACCTGTTCGAGACACCAAGATCCATCAGATACGTTTTGGGGCCCCGGGTCCGTTTACCCCAAGACAGGTATTCAAGCCCATGCCTGTGACCTGGACATTTCCTAACTCTTCCCTTGTTCTGTTTTGCAATAAATAAAAAAGGCACCCAAAACTACAGGAACAAAAGAGAAATCTGAAGTGGAGGAGGAGGAGGCGGCGGCACAGGACGAAGCTTGGAGGGTCCCCTGATGGCACGTTGGCCCCCCCACCCCAGCCCAAGCCTGACCTGGACGCCGGTGTAGTTCTCGAAGAAGAAGAGGACCATGCTCTGGTAGAGGGTGTAGAGCCGGTCGTCCACCTGGTGGTAGAAGCGGGCGGGCAGCAAGGCGGACAGGAGGCGCCAGGCTGTCCAGGCCAGCAGGTAGGTGGGCGCGGTGCCCATCATCACGGCGCCGGGCAGCACGTAGCGCATGGAGTAAGTGTGCAGCACCAGCGAGAGCAACATCTTCGCGCGCCGGCGCCCAGCGCTCCGCTGACTCGGGCGCTTATTTGGCGCGAGTCGCGCCGGCGCCGCCGCCTCCCTTCACCGGCGACAGGAGGAGCAGCCCCGCCAACGCCGCCACCTGAAGGAGGAAAGAGGAGAGGTGAACGAGGAAGAGGAGGAGGAGGAGGAAGAAGAGGAGGCGGCGGAGGCGGCGCCTCTTCTCCCGA